CAACTGCAACTAAAAAAAAAAAAAAATATATATATATATATATATATATTTCTATCACCTCTGGGTTAAATACCCAGTACCAAAAAAATTAGTTAAAAAAAATAAAGGAGTGGAAAGGTCTTTGAATAATGGTATGTTAAGTTAGAAATAATGAAACTAAATATTTAAGGTGAAGTTAATACCATTTTATATGTTGAAACTGTGGGTATTGTACTTTTTTCTTTCTTTTTTTTTTTCCCTCCAGTAAGAAAATCATTTTTGAGTTACAACAAAACTATTTGGGGCCCTCTGGAACTGGTGGAGAAACTTTACCCAGAAGCAGAGGAAATAGGAGCCAGTGTCCGAGACTTACCTGGTCTTAAGTAAGTAATGTTATTAGTGTTCATTCTTAACCTCCGCAGTGTATTTACTGTCCTCTAACATACCTCATAGTTTATCATCTTCTCTCAGCCTTAATGATACCAAGAATTCAGTCCTAGTCTCCGGTAAAAATCCAATGACAAGGACAAGGTTTTAAAGAAAAAGAAGATTATTGCTTTGCCAGCAAAGGAGAATACACAGTGGACTCCTATCCCAGGGGCTGTGATTCTAACAACCAGGGGAAATAGTGGGATTTTAAAGAGGGGATACAAAGGCTACACTCTGGCTGTGCCTCCTCAGGAGTTTCAATTCAGCTTTAGCCTTGAGAGGTAGCCATTTCTCAGACCCCTTGGTGCCAGCTCTGAAGTCTAGATTCCTTCATTCCTGTGCCCTGAGCTGAAAGATAGATAACTTGACCTAGGACAGAAAGGTTAATCTTGTTTCCCCATGATTAGGGAGGAAAAAAAGGAAGGGGGGGAGGATTCAGTTTTAAATTAAGCTGCAGTGGCAGAGCAGCAAGGGTTATATTCAAATCATGAGTGGACCCCTATTGTATTACATACCCTTCTTTCCTTGTCTTCTAATAAAATTCTGTTCATGCTTTGTTTGTTTTTTGAACTAGGGATTGAACTCAGAGGTGCTTTACCACTGAGCCACATCTCCAGCCCCATCCCATTTTATTTTTTTAAAATTTTTTATTTTTAGGTGAACACAATATCTTTATTTTATTTTTATGTGGTGCTGAGGATTGAACTTAGTGCCTCACGCCCATCCCCATTTAAAAAATTTATGTAAAAATTTTTTGAGACAGTGTCTCACTAAGTTGCTTAGGGCTTGCTAAGTTGCTGAGACTGGCCTTGAATTTGTGATCCTCTTGCTTGAGCCTCTGGGATTACAGGCATGTACCCCAGTATTTGGCAAACTGTTTATTCTATATGATTCAGCTCAGATTCCACCTCCTTCAATAGAAGTTAACCATCCTTCCTTTTTTAAAAAAAAATCTTTGCTTTATTTTATTTATTTTTATGTGGTGCTGAGTATTGAACCCAGGGCCTCGCACATGCAAGGCACGTGCTGTACGGCTGAGCCACAACCCCAGTCCCCCCATCCTTCCTTTTAAGTTCTTACCACTAACAGGGGAAATAAATATATATATGTGTGTGTTGTATCATTACTTCAGTTTCATTGTATTGTAGGAAATTGTAAGTCACTTTAAGAGGCTGTATCAACCTGGGTGCAGTGGCACACATCTGTAATCCCAGCAATTCTGGAGACTGAGGCAGGAGGATCACAAGTTGAAGGCCAGGTTTGGCAATTTAGCAAGGCCCTAAGCAATTAGCAAGACTTTGACTCAAAATAAAAAATAAAACAAGGCCTGGGGATGGTGCTCAGTGGTAAAATGCCCCTAGGTTCAATCCTAGTTACCAAAAAAAAAAAAAAAAAAAAAAAGGATATATTAATTCTACATCTGTTCTGAGGGTTAAACTAGTTTCTTCAAAGTAGGCAGTCAATAACTATATGTTGAAGACTGAAGTAGGCTTAATCCAGGGCAAAGGTTCAGGAGAGTTTTCAGTTAAACTCTTCATATACCATAGGATTTGTGCAAATTGTTTCCTTCCACCTGAAATTGGAGCCTATAGCGCCATCTGCTTATTTTGTTGGATTAATGTATGTGAAATGCCCTAAAAGCTGGAAACTTCCAGCTAAGAAATCATGACTGTTGAAACCTTTGCTGAGAATTGGATTCAGGGCCTCACACGTGTTAGGCCGGTGGTCAGCCTCTGAGCTACACCCACAGCCCAAGGCTAAGTTCCATGTTTCTTTCTTTCTTTTTTTCCTCTTTTTTGTACCAAGGGTTGAACCAGAGGCACTACACACTGAGCCATATCCCCAGCTCTTTTTTATTTTTCATTTTGAGACAGGATTTCTTTAAGTTGCTTATGGCCTCACTAAGCTGCTGAGGCTGGCCTCAAACTTGCAATCCTCCAGAGATAACATTTTTATGCTTAGGATTTTCTGTCAGGATTATCAGTTTGTTTTTTCCAACCCTGACTCTCTCAGTTTGTATTTTCTTTACAACTTAGGGTTTTATATGTTGTGGGGAGTATGATAGTGTTTTTACAAATATTCAGATATTTGTAAATTGGGCTTAATTGAGTGATAAGAATAAATCAATACTACTGAGTACTGTGTGGGTAATATATAATCTTTTTACAAAAATTGTCTCATTTGGTTGTTTTTTTTTTGCTTTTGTAATAGGTGTTGAACCCAGGGGTGCTGAACTACATCTCCAGCCCTTTTTATGTTTTATTTTGAGATAAGGCCTTGCGAAGTGTCTAAGTCTGACTTTGAATTTATGATCCTCCTGCCTCAACCTCCCAAACTGCTGGGATTACAGACATGTGGTACCACATCTGGCTCATTAAATGTTTGCTAATCTTATAGGGTAGATATAATAATTGTATAGATGGAAAAAATTAAGGTCAGATAAGTGGTATGGGCTGGGCATGGTGGTACATTTCTGTAATTCTAGTAAGTCAGGAGGCTGAGAGAGGAGGACTGTAAAGGCCAACCTCAACAAATTAGTGAGGCCCTAAGAAATTTAGTGAGACCCTGTCTCAAAATAAAAACAAAAACAAAAACAAAAAAACCTACCTGCCATTGGCTGGGGTTAGGGCTCAGTGGCATAGCACTTGCCTAGAATGTGTGCGATACTAGGTTCAATCTTAGCACCGTATACAAAAATAAATAAAATAAAAGCATGCTGTCCATCTACAACTACAAAAAAATAAAAATAAATAAAACTACCTGCCAGAATCTTCTCTGCAAAAGAACATGTGAAAGTAAACTGGGCAAGGTGGTGCAGGCCTATATTCCCAGCAATTTAGGAGACTGAGGCAGGAGGATTGTTAATTTGAGGGCAGCTTCAGCAACTTGCAAGGCCTTAAACAACTTAGCAAAACCCTGTCTCCATAAAGGGTTGGGGATGTGGCTCAGCAGTTTAAGCATCCCAGGGTTCAATTCCCAGTACTTATAAAAAAAAAAAGAAGAAAGTATGAATGATACCATTCTCTTAAAAAATCTTTAAAATTTGATTTTATTTTTACTAAAATATAGAATTTAAAATTTGGATAAAAGAAGTACGAGGTTTAATTTCTCTTTTTGTGTGTCTGGCCTCTTTCTCTCTTTCTTCCCACCCTACCCCCAACACCCTGTACTAGGGATTGAACTGAGGGGTTCTTTACTACTGAGCTACATCTCTACCTTTTTATTTTTTATTTTGAGACAAGGTCTCACTAAGTTGCCAAGGCTGACCTCAAATGTGTCATCCTCCTGCTTCAGCCTCCTGAGTCAGTGGGATTACATGGTGAGCCAACATGTCCAGCTGTATACAGCTTTATTGATGCATTTTTGCCTATTCACTTTTAGAGGGCTAAGATTATTTAGACAAAATATTTCTTATAGAAATATTCTTACTATTTAGTGAATCATTTCTTTGTGTTTATTTATTAATTTTTAGATGAAGTCTCACTAAGTTACTGAAGGCCTTACTAGATTGCTGAGGCCAGCCTCAAACTTGTGATCCTCTTGTTTTAGCCTCCAAAGTTGCTGGGATTACAGGCATGTGCTCCATGCTGGCTGTGAATAATTTCTTTATTTTTTTATTGGCACATTCTAATTATAATATTGTGATTTATTGTTACATATTTGTAACATAATTTGGTCAACTTCATTTCCCAGTATCGCTTCTTTTAAGGCATAAAATGGTACTTACATACTTTATAGGAGCAGGGACTGGTTAACTTGCTGGCTTAAAACTATAAAAACGAGCTTTGGACCCTGGTAGCATCGTAGCCAATGAGGTTATCCAAGGTGTGATTATTGCTAATTGAAAACTATAAAATTGAAAAGAACACCATGATAAAATGGCTTTTTTCTTTGTTGTGTACCACAACAGAGATGGAACATGTATTCCATGGTCTTAGAGCTAAGGCTATTTTCTGACCATTTGGTTCTTCTTTTTAGGACCCCACTGGGCCGTGCAAGAGCATGGCTTCGATTAGCCCTCATGCAGAAAAAAATGGCTGATTACCTGCGTTGCTTAATTATTCAGAGGGATCTCTTGAGGTTGGTACCATTAACTCATGTTCATTTTTTTTCATTTATATTCTCTCTTCTAAAAATGATCCAACCTGTAGTATAAAAGGATACAAAAGATATAAAAATGTGACATAAAATACAAGAGGAGTAAAATGAAAGAGAGGAACTAACCCCAAATAGGAATACCATGGGGTTTTTATCAGCTAATATAGGAAAATTTACATATGTTCTGTTTCTAAGTTAGTTTATTTTTCTGAATTATAGTTAATTCTATGGATAAAAATTTGTTTTGGAATTTGGGGGTTAATTCTGTTTCTTCCTAGATCTTGAATGTCCAGTACAGATAAATGCTTCAACTGTGTTGTGAGCACTGTTTAAACTGAAGGTCAAATATTTAAGACAGACAACCAGAGAAAGGCAATCAGTCTTTCAAGGAAGTGTACCCAGGCAACCTTTCATTTGTCCTTGGTGTTATAGTCTCTCTCTCAAAGTTTTGAAGAGCATGTTCCTGTTTTTGGATTTACGTATGACTTTGGTTCTATATCTCAGTAGTCCCATTTGTAAAATGAGAATATCCATACTGTAAGCCCTGTTATATTTCTCAACAATATTCTGAAGAGGAGGACATGAGATAGTGGTAACTACTTTGTGAGTATAGACAAGGGATTCTTAACCACTGAGCCACATCCCCAGTCCTTTAAAAATTTTTTAAAATTTTGAGATAGGATCTYGTTAAGTTGCATAGGGCCTCGATAAATTGCTGAGGCTGGCTTTGAATTTTCAATCCTCCCTCAGCTGGGATTTAGAAGTGTTAGCCACCACGCCTAGTATTAGATTACCCTACTTCTTTCACAGGTCTCTTATTTGAACTTTTTTTTAAATACAGATATCCACATGTGAATCTATCTATCTATCTATCTATCTATCTATCTATCTATCTATCTATCTATCTATCTATCTACTTTGCAGTACTGGGAATTGAACTCAGGGGCATCTCTACCACTGAACTGCATCCCCAGTCCTTTTTTTATTCTGAGACAGGGTCTCACTAAATTGCTGAGGCTATCCTGGAATTTGTGATCTTCTTGCTTCAGCCTTTTACCTTGCTGAGATTATAGTCATGCACCACTATGCCTGGCTTTCCATAAATATGTTTAAAAGATAACTTAAAATACACCTTTTTGGGCTGGGGATGTGGCTCAAGTGGTAGCACGCTCGCCTGGCATGCGTGCGGCCCGGGTTCTATCCTCAGCACCACATACAAACAAAGATGTTGTGTCCGCCGAAAACTAAAAAATAAACATTAAAAAAAAAATTTCTCTCTCTCTCTGTCTCTCACTCTTTCTTTAAAAAAAATACACCTTTGAAATGCACTGATTTGAACATGGGCTTTGAAATATTTTGTTATTATTTTTATTTTTATTTATTTTGGTACTGCGGATTGAATTGAGGGGTGCTTATCCATTAATCCACTTCCCCAGTCCTTTTTTTTAATATTTTTTTTTAGTTATTGATAGACCTTTATTATTATTTATTTATATGCGATGCTGCGAATCAAACCCAGTGCCTCATCCATGCTAGGCAAGCACTCTACCACTGAGCTATAATCCCAGCCCTTCCCCAGTCTTTTTTATATTTTATTTTGAGGTCTCACCAAATTACTTAGGACCTTGCTACATTGCTAAGGCTGGCTTTGAACTTGCAATTCTCCTGCCTTAGCCTCCCAAGTTGCTAGGATTGCAAGCATGTGCCACCATAATTGGCTATTTTTATTTCAAAAAAATTTTTGTGTAGTATTGGGGATTGAACCCAGGGATGTTCTACCTCTGAGCCATGACCCCAGCCTTTTTAATTTTTAATCTTGAGACAGGATCTCACTGAATTGTCAAAGTTGGCCTCAAACTTTTGATCCTCCTACCTCAGCCTCCCTAGTGCTAGGATTATAGGGGTGTGCCACCATGCCCAGCTTGAAATGTTTTATAGTTATTTTCCACCTTAGTTTTTATCCCAAAGGTTTTAGTGAATCCTAGTTCTGAAAATTCAGTTCTAATAAAATGAATAATCAGATTAGCAAATCGCTGCATGTGCTTGTTTATTACTGAGAATTGAAACCAGTGTGTTCTACCACTAAGCTATATCCTTTTTTTATTTTGAGGTAGGTTCTCACTAAGTTTTTGAGGCTACCCTCAAACCCGTAATCCTCTTGCCTCAGTCTCCTAATTGGCCGGGATTACAGGCCCCTATGCCAGCCCACTGTCCTGAAAGTCGGAAATATTTCAGGTGTCAGTGTTGCCTTTCTTTTAATCTCACTTTGCTTTTCTCTTTCTCTCTTAAAATTACTTTTCCTGTTTTATTTCCTTTAGTCCTTTTTCTTCCAACTTTTTAAAAATATTTAAATTTTGAAAAGTTAACATGTAGAAAGGTTAATTTTAAAGTTACCGAACATGGCTGGGAGCATAACTCARTGGGAGAGCGCTAGTGTAGAATGCATGAGGCCCTGGGTTCATCTCATAGCACTGCAAAAATTTTAAAAATAAAGGCATCTAATATGGATTGCATCCATGTCTGCAAGGTGGGAGATAAGTTGCTAAGATTTCAAAGTTTTATTTTAGAAATAAATTTGTGATTTAAAGTTTTTGTTCTTCTAATTTTCACAGTGAGTTCTATGAATATCATGCACTAATGATGGAAGAAGAAGGAGCAGTAATTGTTGGACTGCTGGTTGGTCTGAATGTAATAGATGCTAATCTTTGTGTGAAGGGAGAGGATTTAGACTCACAAGTAAGTGCAGAAGGTTTTCAGTTTGCAAACTTACTCTTGATCGAGATGTCACTCCAGGTTGTAAACAGTGCTATTAAACACTAAAGAAAAATTAAGAGGGGAAAAAGAGTTGCATGATTAGGTATCATTTCTTCCCTTTAAATAAAAATAACCTTATTAATTTCAGGTTGGAGTGATTGATTTTTCCATGTATTTAAAAAATGAAGAAGATATTGGAAATAAAGAAAGGTATGATTTTCCTAAGTTATTTCACTTTTTTAAAATATTTATTTTTCAGGTTTAAGTGGACACAATATCTTTATTTTACATTTATGGGTGCTGAGGATAGAACCCAGTGCCTCGCGCACGCTAGGCGAGTGCTCTCCCACTGAGCTACAACCCCAGCCCCTTATTTCACTTTTTTAAAAAAATATAGCTCTTTAAAAATCAATTTTAGATTAATCTATTTACATTGTGGTTTGTGTCCATGTCCCCTGTCACTCCAACCCCATGACTCCTTTTTTGTTTCATTTTACTTTCTTTAAAAGCTTTACAAAGCAAAATGAGAAAAATCAGTTGGAAGAAGGTGACTTTAATGTGAAGTAGGACTTTTGATCATACCTGTACTTAATAAGATCCATTTTAATAGGTGTGTTTTGTAATAATGCTGATTTATTTCAAAGTCCAATTATTTAAAATATACTAACAGTGTTGTTAAGTCTAGTATTAGTGAATAATTTATTGAACAAAAATTATGATTACTTAGTACACAGTTTATATCTGAGACTACAAAAATCCTTGAATTTTGTTTTAAAGGCAAGACAATGTTGTTTTCTGATAATTTTTTAGATGATTTAGATATTTTTCCCACCCTTCCAAATAGCATAAAGCTTCTTTTTCTCCCCTCTAGGAATGTTCAAATTGCTGCTATTTTAGACCAAAAAAATTATGTTGAAGAATTAAATAGACAACTCAAGTAAGTATTATGGATACCTCACATACTTATTAATATTCTTAGGCTTTGCTTTCAGTTTACATCTTTCCTTTCTCCTAAGCTTAGTTAAGAAAGGGTGGAAAGAATATATAGAGAGAACAGAAATTAAGAATACATAGAATTGAGCTGGGTGTGGTGGTGCGTGCCTGTAATTCCAGCAATTTGGGAGGCTGAGGCAGAAGAATTTCAAGTTCAAAGCAGCCTCATAAAAGCGAGGCGCTAAGCAACTCAGTGAGACCCTGTCTCTAAATAAAATACAAATTAGAACTGGGGGTGTGGATCAGTAGTCAAGTGCCCCTGAGTTCAATCCCTGGTACCCCAAAAAAGAAAAAGGTTTGGGGATATGGCTCAGTGGTTAAGTACCCCTAGGTTCAATCCCAAGTTCCAAAAAAAGAAAAGGAAAAAAAAAAAGAGATAAAGAAAAATGATTTAATATGAACAGAAAAACATTTTTCTTATTTCACCAATCTTATATACAAATACTTGTGTCTGAGGGTGGTATAAAATTTGTTGTATCTATAGATATAAAAAGAACAGATAAATAAATAAAAATTGTTTGGTTTACTATAAATATTGCTGTAACAGATTATATTACATATTATTGGGAAAAGTTTGAGAGGATATTATCAAGTAGGCCTTGGACAACAAACCTAATAAATGTATAATAGTGTCCACTCCTTTTTTAAAAAAATTTTTTAATATTTATTTTTTAGTTCTCAGCGGACACAACATCTTTGTTGGTATGTGGTGCTGAGGATCGAACCCGGGCTGCACGCATGCCAGGCGAGCGCGCTACCGCTTGAGCCATATCCTTAGCCCACACTCCTTTTTTTTTTTTGGTTTCTAGATATTGAACCCAGGAGTGTTTTACCACTGAACTTCATCCCCAACCTTTTTAAAATTATTTATTTATTTATTTGTTTGTTTGTTTGTTGTAGTTGGACACAATTCCTTTATTTATTTATTTTTATATGGTGCTGAGGATCTAACCCAGGGCCTTGCACGTGCAAGGCGAGCACTCAACTGCTGAGCTACAATTTCAGCCCTAAAATTTTTTATTTTGAGGGGCTGGAGTTGTAGCTCAGTGGTAGAGTGCTTGCCTCACATGTGTGAGGAACGGGGTTCGATTCTCAGCACCACATAGAAATAAATAAATAAAGGTCCATTGACAACTGAAAAAATATTTAAATTTTTTTTTTTTTTTGTGAGACAGGTCTTACTAAGTTGCTGAGGCTCATCTTGACCTCGCTATTCTCTGCCTCAGCTTTCCAGTCGCTGGAATTATAAATGTACACCACTGTGTCCTGCTAGTATCCACTCTTGATCCACTTAGAAATACAAAACCAAATGTGTTTGTGTAGAGTTACATGCGTTTTGACTATATTCACGAAAGATAGTGTGTCTAGGTATCAGCCAAATGGGTACCTGCTGCTGGGTATCTCATATCCATGTTTTTCAAGCTATGTGTGACTTTGAAGGTTTGTTTCTAAGTTATTATGAAAATAGGGGAAACAGATTGGGAGTTGAACTGAAAAGCACTGTATGCTTCATTAAGCCACATGATTATATACTGTACATTTAAAATTTATYCTTTTAAAAATAATTTAAATTTTAACAATATTTATTAATTTTGTGTGGAATTTCCATTCCTCAACTGGTAAATGTTACCAGTTAAATGTAAGAAGGACTCTAAGAAGACAATGAAAAATGAACAGTCCTAGGTTGATTATTTTGTTTTTTTATGATGGTGTTGGGGATGGAACCCAGGGCCTTGCATATGGTAGGCATGTGCTCTACCACTGAGCTATATCACCAGTCCTGGTATGTGAGTAGAAATATTGTTTTGCTGTCCTAGCCAAATAAGTTATCCTAGTAAATGAAATTTCCCACTTCCAGACATTTGTTCAGGATAGTTGGTATATGTCACATAATGAGTCCAGGATAACATTGATTTTCTTGCCTTCGTGAGTTTGTATGATTGTGAATGAGTTTTTTCTTTTGTTAATTTCAGCAGTACAGTCAGCAGCCTCCACTCAAGAGTTGATTCATTGGAAAAGTCAAACACTAAGCTGATTGAAGAGGTATTGTCTCCCAGTAATGGATGATTTTTTTTGATGGATCTACTATTTGTGATCCTTTTCCCTTTTAAGTATAAAGCCATTAAGTGGATCTGTACACACACACTTTTATCATGATGGAATRCTTGCATTTATAATTGTGATTGTGAATTCTAGGAACAACATATATTCATAGACAAATTCCCAGTTATGCAAATCTGTGAGATACTATTGAAATACTTCTGAAAATGAGCGCCAGAGATGAAGCTCACATAGACTTTTCTATAGATAAGTTATGATTCCCATTTTAAATCTGAATGATATGTATTTAGATAGTGGATTGACCTATAGTTAGAAATTCTTTTTTCATTGACACTGTGTGTCCCTGTTTTTCCACTATTCAGCTTACTTTTCTTCACAAGCATCATTGCATGGTTGTGTCTGCCCTTCTTCAACCCTCTCATGTGTAAAAGTCATCCCATTTGTCCTGGTTTCCTCTGTTGTGAATGTGGCAATCCAGTGGTCTGAGAGCTCATTTGAAGAACCAGAAACTTGTCTTAGCTGTCTTGTTCAAACTATTTGCAGTTATTTTTCTAGAAAAGTTAAAAATCTATCAGTCAGGAGTGGTGGTGCATGGCTTTAATCCCAGCTACGTCGGAATCTGTGGATTGGAGAATCACAAGTTTGAGGCCACCTTGAGAAGTTTAGTGAGACTCTGGCTCAAAATAAATATCTACCAAATCAAAGAACTTTTGCTTCCTATTTTCAAGATTTTTTTAGACTAGAAGAAGAAGCCTGTTATTAGTACTATGAATTCTATTTTCCACGTTAATTAAAATTCTTAATTCTTTAAGAATCGGCCTGTTCTTGAGGCTGGGGTTGCTCAGTGGTAGAGCACTTGCCTAGCATGTGTGAGGCACTGGGTTCAATCCCCAGCACTACATAAAACTAACTAAATAAAATAAAGGTATTGTGTCCATCTACAATAAAAATAAAAAATAAAAAAGAGAATTGGCCTGCTCTTTCTAAATCATAGAATACTTGATGCTTTATAGTATTGCAATTCAAAATCTATCTTTATGTTGATGATTGGACTCATTGGGCCCATTATTGCTGCTTACTAGTTCGTGCCTCTTCTTTTTGGTGCATGTGTGGCACTGGGAATTGAACCCAGGGATACTCCACTACTGAGCCACATCCCCAGTCCTTTTTATATTTTATTTTGAGATAGGATCTTGCTAAGCTGTTTAGAGCCTTGCTAAGTTGCTGAGGCTGGCTTTGAATTCGAGATCCTCCTACTCGGGCTCCCAAGCTGCTGAGATTACAGGTATGCATCACTGAGCTCAGCTGCCTTTTAAATTTTGAGACAGATTCTCTCTAAGTTGCTGAGGCTGGCCTTGAATTTGCCATTCTCCTGCATCAGTCTCCTGAGTTGCTGGGATTACAGGCATGAGTTACCATGCACAGTTATCCTGTTACATTTTCAATGATAGCACAACCTTCTTTTCTTATGTGTGTTTCTGTTTTTACACAAGGCTTTATTATCATCTTGTTTAATGCATAATTGAGTACATATATATTTATTTATTTATATAATGCTCACAGACTTTTCATTCTGGACATATTATAAACCTCACAGTAAGCATAACATGATTGTTATAAGCATAACAAATAAGCTTAATGTGTTTTAATGACAAAAGGAAATAGTAGAAATAGTACAAGAGGAAATAATTTTTTATTGGTATTTTGGGATAATAACACATTTTTCTCATGAAAATTTTTGTAAGTGTAAGACATTTTACTAGTTTTAGGATTTTATTTTCTGTTTATAGCCATGAACATAACCTGTAAGGCAAGTATGTTTAAAATCTTTTTTCTTTGTTCTTGTTTCATAATATTTAGTTAGCAATAGCAAAGAATAATATTATTAAACTCCAAGAAGAAAACCATCAATTACGGAGTGAAAATAAAATGATTTTAATGAAGACACAGCAGCACCTAGAGGTAAGTACAGACTGCTTCCAGACAGATCATCCTGTGTCAGAAATTAAGGGACTTTTGCTTAGTCTAGATATTTCTGTGCTATATTAATAGTAGTAATTATAGAATAAAAAGTTTGTTTTCTTAGCCAGTCATGGTGGTGCCTGCCTGTCATGCCCGCTACCCAGGAGACTGAGGCAGAAGGTTGGCAAGTTTGAGGCCAGCCCCAGCAATTGAACAAGACTCTGCCTCAGAAATAAATAAATAAAGGTTGGGGATGTAGCTCAGTGATAAAGAGCTTTTTGGTTTAATTCCCAGCAACAAACAAAACAAGACAAAACACAAGTTGTTTTGTTCTTTTCTTCCTAGGTCACCAAAGTGGATGTGGAAACAGAACTTCAAACATATAAGCATTCTCGGCAGGGGCTGGATGAGATGTATAATGACGCCAGAAGGCAGCTTCGAGATGAATCTCAGTTACGACAGGTAGCTTCCATTCAAATTAGTTAGCAAAATCCTGGGAATAATTTACCTTCAAGCAAGTACCATTTTGAATCTTCCAGTCTTTGATGTGGGAGAGCAAATTCACCTCCTTAATGCTCTCAGAGTTTTTAATGCCCACTCCATTAGCATTTTTGAAACTGTGAGTTATAATTTATGGTTATAAAATGAATGAATTGTGGGCTGGGGATGTGGCTCAAGCGGTAGCGCGCTCACCTGGCATGTGTGCGGCCCGGGTTCGATCCTCAGCACCACATACCAACAAGAATGTTATGTCTGCCGAGAACTAGAACATAAATATTGAAAAATCTCTCTCTCTCTCTCCTCTCTCTTTAAAAAAAAAAAAAAAAACTAAAAATGAATGAATTGTGATCAACATTGCAAAAATGAAATAGAATTTAATTAAATATGCAAATATTGGTAAAGTCATGTTTAAAATTAACTTTTTTTTTAGCCCTTTAAATTATGTAATGTACAGAAAAAATAAATGTTCAGCCTAATCTATAACACTGTAACCACTACCCAGGTCAAGAGGAGAATATTGCCAGTTTTGTCCCCTTTTGCTGTTTGTAACATTAGGACACTTGTTTTTTTAAAATATTTATTTATTTATGTATCTTTAGGTTTTTTTATGTGGATATATTAGTTTGTTTTTATGTGGTGCCGAGGATCAAACCCAGTGCCTCATGCATGCTAGGCGAGCATTCTACCACTGAGCCACCACCCTAGCCCCAGGAAACTTCTTAATCTGACAAAAATTCTTTAAAAAATTAAACTTATCTTGAGCTATCTTYGGTCTTGTTGCTTCATTAGCTTTTGCTTACAAAAAATTAATACTGAATTTATGAGGCATAAAATATCTTAAACATTAGAATAATAATGATTAACAGAATATAGAAGATATTTTCTTATTCTTTTAAAAATTTTTTTCAGTTGTAGATGGACACAATACCTTTGTTTATTTATTTTTATGTGGTGCTGGGGATAGAACTCCGTGCTTCACACATGCTAGGCAAGTGTTCTAACCATTGAGCCACAACTCCAGCCCAGAAGATATCTTCATTTCAGTAAAAAATGCATTTGAAAATATTTAAAATTATGTTGTTATAGACCTGGTTGATTTCCTTTAGTGGACTTAAAAGGAGAGAGTAGTAAATCTTTCGGATCTCATTTATTGTCCTGTAGCTGATTTTGACATTTATTTATTTAGTTATTGATAGACCTTTATTTTTAAGTTTTTTTTTATATTTATTTTTTAGTTTTAGGTGGACACACTATCTTTTATGTTTATGTGGTGCTGAGGATCAAACCCAGTCCTCACGCATGCCAGGCGAGCGTGCTACCACTTGAGCCACATCCCTAGCCCTGGAACTTTATTTTATTCATTTATTTATATGTAGTGCTGAGAAATTAATCCAGTGCCTCACACATGTGAGGCAAGCGCTCTACCACTGAGCCAGAACTGCAGCCCTGATTTTGACATCTTGAAGTGGCATGTGAATTGAAGATATGTTTAAATTGCAGGATGTGGAGAATGAGCTATCAGTACAAGTTAGTATGAAACATGAGATTGAACTTGCCATGAAGTTGTTGGAGAAAGATATCCATGAGAAACAAGATACTCTAATAGGCCTTCGACAACAACTAGAGGAGGTTAAAGCAATTAACATAGAGATGTATCGAAAGTTACAGGTAAAGAATGTTCAGTTCTTACACTTTTTTCTTTATCTTTCTTTTCTCTCTCTCTTTTTTTTTTTTTTTTGTATTGCTCAGGCCTTATGCATATRCCAGGCAAATGCTCAGACACTGAAATACACCCCAGCCCAATTTCTTTTTATATAAATTAAGACAAATATTTGTAGGAAAGGTTTGGTTTTTATTTTTTATTTTTTTGAGGGTACAGGGGATTGAACTCAGAGATAAAGCACCTCTGAGTTCAATCCCCAGTACCATCCCCTCCTCTCCAAAAATGTAATGAAAACATCAAGGAACAAGTTAAATATAACCTGTATGTATGTATGTGTGCATKATGGGCTCTGGGGATTAAACCCACGGCCTTTCATCTGCTAAACACATACTCTAAATCACAGTTATCAAGAGCTCCTAGTATCAAGATTAAATCTTTTGGAAAAACTCTCAAATCTAAATTTGTAATATATTTTGTTAAACTTCTTCACACACTGGTCCTGAGAAAGATTTCAATTTGATTGAAATACTTTGTGATCAKAGTTGGAATTTTCTAGTAGTGTGGTAAAATTGCTATTAAGTAGACTTGTTGCTGAAAGCCCTTTACAATTTAATTAATTTTTAAAATGGCCTGTTCTACATGAATTTATCCTGTTGTCTTCCAAAAACATTGAAGTTTGAGTTTTTTCTTTATTTTAAATGAAGACTAGTAGCACTATTTTATATCATAGCATTATTTTAATGTGTAAATTAATCCTGCTCATTTAAAGTAACAATCCCATTGCAAGATGCTGTAGGAAGCATAAACATTCAGGTTTAAAAATGAAAACCACTGTGGCTTTTATGTCTTTGTAAAAAGGGTTGTGAAGATGGCTTGAAAGAAAAAAATGAAATAATTGCCCGACTAGAAGAAAAAACCAATAAAATTACTGTAGCCATGAGGCAGCTGGAACAAAGGTACAGCATTTCCAGTACTAGTTTCTTTTTTCTCCTTCTTCCCTCCTTTTTCTTTATTTAGCTCTGACATTTGCCACAAAAAAATTAGGAAGATATAGATTAGCACTTTTTTGTTTAAGCTGAACAGGATTTTGCATTTTTTGTTTTGGTTGTTGCATGGAATCAAGTTGCTTTATATTGGGCTGATTCATTTGAAGTCCCCATCTTGTAGATTTTTTTTTTAAAGGCCTAATGCCAGCAATTTCATGTGGTTCAGTCTATTACCTAAAACATACACAAACAAAAACGTGAAAAAAATTAATAGTGAACAAAATCAATGTTGGGATTATCCCTGATTGATTTCCATGCATATGAATTGTCATACTGTTTGTCATTCACCATCTCTTTATCTGAAATCAAGCATCTGAACTAGTTGTTTAGTTTTGCTTCTTGGAGCTAGGACCCTCAACCCAACCCAAGATACAATTTTGTTTAAATTGAATCGTTTTATATTGGCATTTTTCACTTTTATTGTTGGAAAATGTAATGTATTTCCATTGCCCTGTCATGTTGATGTCAACATATGTCTTATCATTGCTTTCTTTGAATCTATTTATGAAAAACATAACTATTAATGCTTTATTGACATGGATATTCTTTTATTGACATCCTCTTTCTTCTTTTTTCTTTTTTGTTTTCTTTATCCCCATTTTTACATTTTGGACATCTTTATTACCTTTTTCTGTCTTTGATTTCTGTCCATTCCATTATGAAGTGACAATGATTTGCTAACTCAAACTAGGACGATTGCAATGTCATTGGTGAAATGTGCCAGCAGTGACACTCAGGACCAGTACAAGCTGGTCAAAGATATATCTTTCTGAAAACCATTTGTGTTGAACAGACTGAAATATAACCCACAATTTTATAATATACTAAATAGAAAAGAATTTATGCTATTAAGTATTCTAAAAGGGTATTAGGAAGGAGCCCTGTACATTTCTTGGTTGGCTGCTGTGGTAGTACACTGCCATAAAGCAGACATGTGCACTTGGATTTACAAAAATACATTCCTCAAACCTTGTGCACAAGGGCTGATTTGAGTATTGACCGTTTGGAGGTCAGGATTTTCAAATGCAGTTTTATCTTTTTAGCTACTTTTTGATGGAAAAATATAAAAATAAAATAAGTTAACTTTTGGTTTCACAGTATGTTGGCACAGATATTTCCCCCAACATTGGCCCACTCTTTGCCTCATGACTCCCTTACTGATTTTTAAATATGTTTTAATATAGTTTACAATCCAGATTGGCCATCATTCTGTGCTTTAGCATTTTTCAGTTTTCCAGTTCCCTCTAGCCCTCTTTTGTGATAGCACAATTTCAAGGCCTACCTCACTGACTTTTATTTTACTTTCTGTGTCCTTAGATAAGAGCTTGGGTCCACCCCCACTGCCTTAATATTTTAATTTAAATTAAACTTAGAGATAACTTAGTAACTTAGTTACTCTCCTTTCCTTGGAAGCAGCATTTATACTCTTGAAATATGTGAGGGTTGCCCCATTAGTATGATTTTAAGGCTCTTACAGAGGCTTTAAGGCTCTAGAGGGGCTGGAGATATAGCTCAGTTGGTAGAGTGCTTGCCTCACAGGCACAAAGCCCTGGGTTCAATCCCCAGCACCACACAAACACACACACACACACACACAAAAAAAAAAAAAAAAAAAAGAAAAGAAAAGAAAGAAAGAAAGGCTCTAGAAAGGAAGAGGCAGGTTTTTTTGGTTAGTAGAACAGAAATTTCTCTTGCGATTCCCTACAAGGAATTAATGTCCTTGAATCTTGGGAAATATTTTCTTATAAAATAATGAAGTCAAGTCTCAGAAATCTTGATGGCCAAGGGAGGTAGGGAGTGGAGCTAAGGCTGGGGCGAAGCAATGACTTACAAAGAAAAACAGGAAAAATTGAAAATCATGTTTTTAGCTAATTTTTAATGTTTGGTGGTGAGGAACAAAAATGATCTCTAGAGAATGGTGCCAACTAGCACTAAATTCTTTTTGAATCTTAAATGCATACACACATACACACATATAATAGAGCTTTGGCATTATTTAGTAAATGCATAAAGATCCTCTAGGAAGGATCCTGCTGTTATTGGAGTTATTGTAGGTCTTTGCTCTTGGCCCCATAGCACACTTGATTCCTGGCGTAGACATCTTAGCATAACATACAGCAGGTGGCTTCTTCACCTAGTATAGACATAAGTACTATAGTTTTCATGGTTTTGTAAAAAGGCAGTAACATACCTATCGATTCATTATGCTCTAGATAAATGGTAAAGACTGTATTGCTTTGCATTGTTAATTATGAACAAGAAATAAAACAAATTTGAAGATAGTATTCTGGGCATATTATATGTTGTGTTGAAAAAAAAATCACAAAAACAGTTTCTAGACATTGTGTGGCTCTTTCACGTTTGAGTTTGTGAGTTTTCCCCCAAACTTTGTTTTCATTTAGAAATGTTTCTATTTCCCCATTTTTCTTTTATTTGTCTTCTTCACCCTTTTACACCCTAGTTCTAGCCTCAGTTTTACCCAAAGTTGATTTGAATTACACCAGATTGCAGCAAGCAGAGAAGGCGCAAATGGAAGCTGAAGATGAGGATGAGAAATATCTACAAGAGTGTCTGAGTCAATCTGACAGTCTGCAGAAACAAATCTCTCAAAAGGAGAAACAGCTGTGAGTATTTTGCTCTTGGAAACAAAAACTGTATTAATATGATCCACCCACCCGACCTTTTTGGCACATATGATAGAATACCAATGTTTTTATTTATYCGGTGATACCAGCCAGTATGTTCACTTAAAAAAAAAAATATATTGGGCTGGGAATGTAGTTTAGTGGAAGAGTGTTTGCCTAACATACACGAGGCCCTGGTTTCAGTCCCCAGCCCTGAAAAAAAAATCAAACATTTAAAAAACTGTATTTATGGTAATATTTATGTTTTTATTCCAATTATTAATTTTAAAAAAATTTTTAAGTTATTGATGGACTTTTATTTATATGTGGTGCTGAGAATTGAACCCAGTGTCTCACACGTGCTAGGCAAGTATTCTACCACTGGGCTACACACTCAGCCCTCTCATTATTATTATTGTGACTATTTTGGCACTGGGGATTAAACTCAGGGGTACCACTGAGCTGCATCCCTAGTCCCTAGCCCTTTTAAAAATTTTTTGTATTTTGAGACAGGGTCTTGCTAAGTTGCTGAGGCTGGCTTTGAATTTGTGATCCTCCTGCCTCAGCCTCCCAAATTATTGGGATTACAGGTGTGTACCACCACACCTGGCTGCATTTTAGGTTTTTTTAAATCTATTTTTAAATAATTTTTAAATATTTATTTTTTAGTTGTAGTTGTACACAATACCTTTATTTTACTTACTTATTTTTATGTGGTGCTGAGGATCGAACCCAGGGCCTTGAACATGCTAGGTGAGCGCTTTACCACTGAGCTACAACTCCAGGCCCAACTTTATTTTTTTATGTGATCCGAAGGATTGAACCTAGTGTCTCATGCGTGCTAGGCAAGTTACAAACCCATCCCCTGCATTTTAGTTTTTATTTTATTTTACTTTTTTAAACAGTGTCAAACACCAAACTTTTTTTTTTTTTGAGAGAGAATTTTTAATATTTATTTTTTAGTTTTCGGCGGACACAACATCTTTTTTTGTATGTGGTGCTGAGGATCGAACCCAGGAAGCCCGCATGCCAGGTGAACATGCTACCGATTGAGCCACAGCCCCAGCCCTAGTTTTTATTTTATAAATATCGATATTTCCCCCCAGGAAATATGTATACCACTTTTGTTATTAAAAGCAAACAACAATGAAAAATAGAGATCTATGTATTATGTTAACATATCATTGAAACAAGCATGTATGCTGTGTACGTTTCTAAGCTGCCTTTAGTTTTATGTCTAGTAATTCTATCAATAACAGATGGTCCCCAACTTAGTGTTTCAATTTGTGATTTTTTTGACTTTATGATGGTGAAAAAACTATTCTGTAGAAAGTGTACTTTGAGTTTTGGTGACATAGGGTATCCGACACTCTGACCATCCTGTRTGGTGGCAGCAAGCCATAAGTCAGCCATGCCATCCTGAAAGCAAACAACCAATACTCTATTACTATAATATTCAGTAGGTTAGATATATTTCTTTTTTTTACATGTGGTTCTGTGGATGAAACCCAGGGTGTTGCACATGCTAGGCAAGCATCCTACCACTGAACTATACCTCCAGCCCTTAGGTGCATTTTTTTTTTTTCCTTTTTGGTACTGGGATTGAACCCAGGGGAGATTTACCACTGAACTATATCCCCAGTTTGTTGAAATACCCAACTGTAATTGTGAATTTATATATTTCTATTTTTGGTTCTATCAGTTTTTGCTTTATTCTGAAGCTCTATTGTTTGCTGCCCATACATTTAGGATTGCTATGTCTTCTTGGTGGATTGACCCTCTGGTCATTATATTCTTGTCTCCGGTAATTTTCTTCACTCTGAAGTTTACTTTTTCTGGTATTAAAATAGCTGTTCCTACTTTCTGTTGATTTATGTTTGCATTTTTTTAATCATTTAACTTTCAGCCCACCTTTATCTTATATTGAAATGAGTTTCTTACGATACCATACCATTTTTTTTWWAAAAATCAATCCTGCCAACTTGGTCTTTTGAGTGCATTTAGTCCTTTTACATTTAGTGTTAATTATTGATTTATTCAAGCTCAAATGTCATTTATTTATTTTGTTGTTGTTGTTGTTTTCCATTCCTCTGTTTGAGTCTTCTTGCCTTCTCATGGGTTATGTGAACATGAAAATTTCATTTTGGTTTTTGATTTATCTGTAGTGATTTTGAGTGTCTCCTCTTTATAGTTTGCTTAAATATTTTTTCTATATATTGAGAATATACCAATTTTATATGTTTCAACCATTAAACATAATTAACTTTAGAAAGTCATTGTTTGCTCTTTTTCATCTTTCCCTTATTCTTTTTTCATTTCTTCATTCCTGAGGTTCCTTTTTGAATCTCTATTTTTCTTAGCCATTTTTTTTCAGGTAGGTCTGTTCTTTTAGGGTCAGTCTGTTGGTAACACATTATATTTTACTTTAATTTCTGAAGGTTGTTTTCATTAACTATATCCCTGGCCCTTTTATAAAATAAAAATTTTGAGACAGGTCTTGCTAAATTGTCCAAGCTGGCCTTGAACTTGTGATCCTCTTGCCTCAGCCTCCTAAGTAGCTGGGATTATAGGTGTGCATCACTGTGGACTTTTTCTTCATACTCCCAAGGTCCCTGAGACAGTTCTTCTGCCCCAATCTGTTTTCTGTTATTAAAACTGGGAAAACTGGGTAATTTGACTTGTTCTGTTTTCAGGTTGGTTCATTCTTTCCTCTTCATCTTTATTCTTCTCTTGAGACTATTGCATTTTTCAGTTCTAAGATTTCTATTTGACTTTTTTTTTTGTTTTCTCTTTGTCCTTGTCTTGTCTGTCTTTCCTTGATAAGACTTCTTATTCTTGAAAGTATAATTGGTCATAGGAACATTTCCAACATGACTGCTTTAAAATTCTCATTGTCTGACATGTTGGCATCTGTTGATTCTTTTTTCATCTGAGTTGAGATTTTCTAGGACTTTGTATAACAGATGTTTTTCAATTGCATCTTGAATACTTTGGGTATTATAACATTCTGGATTTTATTTAGATCTGTTTTAGCAGTGACCCTTTATACCAAGTGGGGATGAAAGCCCAAGACCATCCCAAAGGGGATGGAGAAAGATACCCAATAACTTCTAGGTTCCCTACTCAAGGCCATGTCTTCCCCATCTCCCCTGCCTTTGGTGTTTTGCTGGGATAGGGCATTCATTGTCAAAAAGTTTCTATCTCATTAGACTGTCTCTTTCTCAGAACTTTGGTAAGACAACACACTTCATGTGAAGGTTCTTTTGTTTGCTCTTCTTGTCTGTGCCCATAGGTGTTTATGTATGGGACAAAATCTTCGACATCCAAGCTGAGCTACCTGGAGACAAAAAAAAGAAGCCTCTGGAAACTTACTACCATGTTGTTTCTTGAATCCTGGGGTTCCTAGCTCATTTGCCTTCTCTCCATCTTTCTGAGTTTTCTTATGTCTTATATATAATATCTAGAGATTTTTAATTGTCTGGAATCTTTTTTTTTTTTTTTTAAGCAATACTGGGGCTTGAACTCAGGGGCACTTTACATTCTGTTCTAGCTCTTTATACTTTTTGAGACAGGATCTCAAAAAGTTGCTAAAGATAGCCTTGAATTCGCTGTCCTCCTTCTTTAAAAGCCTCCTTTTAAATATGCCAAAAATAATATTTTGAGGAATTAGTATACAGAACAAGGCTTTAGGCCAGAAAATTTTACCTTGGTTAAAAACTTAAATATTAAGTATCATTTTACTTTATCATTTGTATACTGAAACCCAGCATCTGTCCAGGAACTGGCCTGTAATTCCAGCTACTCGAGAATCTGAGGGGTTGGGGTTGTGGCTCAGTGGTAGAGCACTTGCCTCGAGTGTGAGGCACTGGGTTTGATTCTCAGCACCACATATAAATAAAAAATAAAGGTCTATCAACAACTAAAGWGAATAAAATAAATAAAATTACAAAAAAAAAAAATCTGAGGCAAGAGGATCACAAGTTCAAAGCCAGCCTGGGCAATTTAGAGAGACTCTGTTTCCAAAAAAAACTTAATGAAGTTGAATATTTTGTTGCAAGCCGTTATTTCAGTGTATAAAAATAACACCAGAAAATGCAGCATATTATAAAATTAAGACACTTTCCTCCACGCCTAGTTTTTTCCAATGGGAAGATCATTAAATATGTTAATCCAAATCCAAGGATGTATATAAGCAAGTTACAATATTGTATAAGGCTTATCCTTGAATTACATGCCTATTGTAAGTAGTTTTTACCACAGATAATTTCATGAATTCTGAAATCAGAGCCTAAATCTTAACTCTAAAAATCACTAAAAAAAGTAAAAAAGATTCATGCATACACTGGAATTTTTTTTTGAGAGAGTGAGAGAGGAGGGAGGGAGAGAGAGAGAGAGAGAGAGAGAGAGAGAGAGAGTTTTTAATATTTATTTTCTAGTTCTCGGCGGACACAACATCTTTGTTGGTATGTGGTGCTGAGGATCGAACCTGGGTTGCACGCATGCGAGGCGAGCGCGCTACCGCTTGAGCCACATCCCCAGCCCTAGACACTGGAAATTTAAGGGGTAATCTTCTTCCAGTTAGCAGTGTGGAGAGTAGTTTCTTTTTAAATCTTCTTTTACCACTAATTTAAGACAACTGCTTAAGTTATTCCACACTAGTTTACTTAGGGTGCCATTTGTACTTCTCAATACATTTTACATATTTCTCACGTTTCTTTACTTCAGATAGACTGCAATAAACAGTATATTGTGCAGAATTGCTGATTCCCATTGTTCCAATACCATTTTCTATAGTTATCCATTCATGTTCCTCTGTAAATTTATGTACGGAGAGCAGAGTGGGTCCTGTGAGCAGTGCACAGCTTCCGAATGGCGCCCCCATCAGGCGACAGGGCTTTGGGGGGCCCAGCACAGCCTACACAAAGGCTGCAGGAGGCAGCTAGCATACTCTGCACCACTTGCAGCGCCAAATTCGCAAGGGTACCAAGGGTTATCCACTGTGCCTCTATTACCCCCCCAGTACTTTAAAAACATTTAATAATAATAATAATAATAATAATAATAATAATAATAATGGATAGTACTTTTTCAGGACTTCCTTTGGCAATAAAAATTACAAGGAGCATTCATGTCACAAGTTTAGTAGCAGTGCCAAGGGCTTTAAGTCCCTGTGCTTGCCAAATAAAAACAAATGAAAACAAAAGATTGGGACACCTTGCCAATTAGTCGAATATAGCATAGAAATCCAGATACTCTGTTACTAAATCACCTTTTTTAGTGTTTGACAAAAACATGCAAGACAAAATTGATATTTATTTTGCAATGTTACAACTTACTCTACTATGATATTGTTATTTGATACCTGCCCAAAGGATGACCTAAACAATGCTACAGGGACCTACCCCTTTCTTTGTAAGGCTAAACTAACTACTAAGATCTAGGTGTAGCTGTTGAGATATGTTTGTCACTGGTGAAACTTTATTTTTTAAAAATATCTATTTATTTATAACTGGTGAAACTTTAATTTTTTTCTCTAAGTTGGTGCCTTTTTGAAGGGCATGAACATGTTAACAATTTGGAGACCGAGGAAATCCTGACATTGGAACTGTATGTATAGGAACAGTCAGTTGAGAAACTTTGTTAGAGAAAAATGAATTCTAGATTTTCCCCTAATGTGGAAATAACTTTTATCAGTTTCTGACTATGAAAAGATTATATCCTCTTGGCCAAAACACAAGGAATCATGGAGAAGCATGAATAAAATTAAAAGAACATGGATAACACTTTAATATATATCAGTATTTTTGTTTTTTGAGAATTAGGATCATTCTGTATGTGTGTGTGTGATTTTTTTTTTTWAAGAGGTATTGGGGATTAAACCTGGGGACACTTTACCACAGGTTACATCCCCAGCTCTTTTTACTTTTTATTTTGAAACAGTATCTTGCTAGATTGGTGAGGCTGGCCTGAATCACTGGGATTACTACCAGTGTGCTAACACGCCTGGCTTCCCTTTAAATTATTTATTCATTTGGGTATCAGGAATTGAATCCAGGAGTGTTTAACCACTGAGCCATATTCTCAGCAGCCTCCCCACCTTTTGTTAAAAAATTTGAGCTTAAGAAGTCTTAAAATTTAAAAAAGGGCTGAGGATGTGGCTGAGTAGTAAAGTGCCCCCAGGATCAATCCTCATTACCAATAATTAATAAATAAATAAATAAAAATTTTATACTTCAACACCTTTTGTCTTGCCAGCTAGCCGCTGTTAGAATGATATAGGAGTGCTTTCAGATGAGAACTAGCATTTCCACACAGTATAGTCTGCATGGTTTTGGATCTATCCTGCAGCTGGTCAGCTTCCAACAGTAATCTGCAAATTAGCACTTTACACCAGGGCAGATTTTGCTGTTACTGATATTACATTCATTTAACAATTGTAATTATCAATCCCCTTCATTAGTTAGTTTGTTTTAAAATTTTCCATATGGCACAGAAATGTAAACAATTAAAACCCCACATTGCTCCTCTGTGTTGAATCCCCAAGATAAAAAAGTTTTAGTAGTATGATATATACCCTTCCATTTTCTATACTTATACAACTCTAATGTATATCGACAAAATGACATAAATTGTTTAGCAGTTATTTTTTTTGTGGCTGGCAAATGTTTTCAGAAAACCCCTATTGCGGGTGTAGCCCAGTGGTAGAACACCTGCTGAGTATGTGCAAAGCCCTGGGTTCAATTGCCAGTATTGTTTAAGGAAAACAAACAAAAAACAAAACAAACAAAAAAACCTGTGCTGGATTTGTTTACCAAAAGATATTTATGAAAGAAAATGAAGCCAGACATGGTGGCAAACACCTGTAATCCAAGTGACTCAGGAGAGTGAGGAAGGAGGATTGCAAGTTCAAGTGTTAGCAATTTAGTAAGGCCCTAAGCAATTTAGGAAGATCCTGTCTCAAAAAATAAAAAAGGGCTGGAGATATGGCTCAGTGGTTAAATGCCCCTGGGCCCTGGGTTCAATCCCTGGTACAAAAAAGAAAAAAAGAGAAAGAAAAACACAGAAATGCATCATAGAGGCAAAATTAATCAACCAAAAGGATGCTTGTATTAAGGAATACATTTAACTGTTATGTAAGAAGTGGTACTGAGCTTCTGTGTATTATTTGTCATTTAAGGATCCAACTGGAAACTGATCTGAAGATTGAGAAGGAATGGAGACAGACTTTGCAGGAAGATCTTCAAAAGGAGAAAGATGCCTTATCTCATCTTAGAAATGAGACCCAACAAATCACTAATCTTAAAAAAGTAAATTGTAGTAAAACTTTAAATATTATATCTTTTGACAAATATTCACCTATGTTAAAATTTATTTTATTTATTTTTGGTACTGGGGAATGAACCCAGGGTCACTCTACCACTAAGCTGCACACCCAGATCTTTTTATTTTGAGATAGGGTCTTGCTAAATTGCCATGGTGGGCCTCAAATTTGTGAGCCTCCTGCTTTAGTCAACTGAATTGCTGGGATTACAAGGGTGTACCACCACCAGTGATTGTTGTCTTGTTTTAAAGTTAACTTAGTTTACATATACAAGGAAAACAGGTCATACTATTTCTTGTCAAAAATATTAAAGAGATTTAAGTAAATATGAAAAATGTGAAGTAGCTGATACACAGAGCAGCTAGGAAAGGAGTTTGGACACAGTTTTTGTTTTTTATAAAAAGCTTAAGGATGCTAATTAATGATACATATACAATGTGAAGTTGCTCATTCCTTTTAAATCACATTTTCTGTCTTTTATTGTTTTGACAGGAGTTTCTTAACCTCCAGGATGAAAATCAGCAGTTGAAAAAAATATATCGTGAACAAGAGCAAGCTCTTCAAGAACTTGGCAACAAACTTAGCGAGTAATTTTTTTTCCCCTTCAACTAAGTAGTCATTGACAATTATTAAAGGTTCATGAAGGCATCAAACTAATTAGAAAGGTTTAAATACAGCTGTGTGGTGAATATACCTGTAATACCAGGAGGCTTAGGTAGAGAAAAGAGCACAAGTTTGAGGCCAGCCTCAGCAATTTAGTGAGACCCTATCTCAAAATAAGCAAGGGCTGGGGGATGTAGCTCTCTGTGGTGGCATGCCCCTGGGTTCAATTGCAGTACCAAAGGGCAGGGGAGGTTTAAATATAAGATAAAAATATGAACTATTATAGATAAATGTATTTTTATCTCTGTATCTTTTATTTTTTGGTGGTACTGAGGATTACACCCAGGTGCTAGGATTACAGGCATGCGCTACTGCACCTAACTTGTATAGCTTTTCTTTTTTTTTTTTTTTTAATATTTATTTTTTAGTTCTCGGCGGACAACATCTTTGTTGGTATGTGGTGCTGAGGATTGAACCCGGGCGAGCGCGCTACCGCTTGAGCCACATCCCCAGCCCCTTGTATAGCTTTTCACAGAACAATTTGTATTATGTTTCTGAAAGAAAGATATTAGTTTCAATCTGACATCCATTTGTTGAGCACTTTGAGCCTAACCCTGTGGCTAAGTGCTGGTTACTATATTTCCCAGTATTTCACAGGTACTTATTGCGCTTCCTCCATGTGCAGGCACTATATTTATAATCTAAATAGTGAAAACAAAAAAAATCTCCATTTACTGAGATCTTAAAAGTTTAATATTAGAGCATACTGGCATAGTAAAATAAGGAATATGTTAATTTTCACCTGTTCCAGAGASTTTGTAGTTGTATTAAAGAGGTGGTCATTTGAAGATCTGGGTGCTGCTTTCAGACCCTTGTTATTTACTTTAGTCCAGTTCATTGCTTCTCAAATTTTAGTTTGCAGGGAAATTACCGCACAGGTTAGATATACTACACAATCTATAAGTGAATTTATGGGCTAGCTATGTGTAAGGGATTTTCAAGGGTTATTTTGACTACTGAATTATTCTCTTACCTTGCATACCTAACCTAATTCCATATAATGCTTGTTCTTTTGTAGTTTGAAGGTGTTTTATTTATATGCTAGATAGCTGGGCCCAGTGGCACATGCCTGTAATCCCAGCAACTCAGGAGGCTGAAGCAAGTTCAAGATCAGCTTCAGCAATTTAGCTAGGCCCTAAGCAATTTAGCAAGACCATCTCTAAATAAAATATAAAAAAGGGCTGGAGATGTGGCTCAGTGGTTAAGCACTGAAGTCGAACTTTTTTTGTAAGCAGTACTGCTGTGAATATCTTCTATGTATATTTTGGGCTTAGGAATGTAGTACTGACCTGACATGGTTGAGGTCCTAGGTTTAATCTCCAGTACCAAAGAAAATCATATGTTGATATGGCTTGAACTGTTGGGCCAAAAAGAATGTGCTGTAAAGTTTTGTTTTGATATTAGGGATTGAACCCAATGGTGCTTTACTACTGAGTTATATTCCCCAATCCTTTTTAATTTTGAGAGAGGGTTGCTGAGGCTGGTCTTGGACTTTCAATCTTCCTGCCTCAGCCTCCTAAATTTCTGGGATTACAGGCATGTGCCACTGCCCAGCATGTAAAGTTTTTGTCATCTTTCTTGTAGTAGGAAGTACCAAAGAGTTTAAAAAAATATATTATTTTGATTTCTATTTCTTTAATCATGAGCCAGGTTGATCATGTTTATTCCATTATTATATGTAGTTTATTTTTGGTAAAGTGACTGTTGTACATTTTTTGGATTATTCATGGGATCTTTGAAAATCAATTATGGCACATTTTTTTTCTAGTTTGTCATTCATTATTAGTTTGTAGCATGTTTTTCCCTTGTTAATATTTCAGTTTTTACATGTAACCTTTTGTCAATTTTCCTTTATTACTTCTGAGATCATAGTCCCTAAAACATGGATAGGGGTCAGAATTTTTTGGTACTGGAGATTGAAACCAGGAATACTCTATCACTGAGCCACATCCCCGGCCCTTTTTATTTATTTATTTTAAAAATTTAATTTTGAGAGAGCATCTCACTGAACTGCTTAGGGCCTTACTGAGGCCAGATTGGAATTTGGGATCCTTCTGCCTCAGCCCCTTCCRGAAGTACAAGCATTAAACCTAGGGGTACTTTATCATTGAGCTACATTCTCAGCGCTATTGTCGGTTTTTGTGATCCTGCCTCAGCTGCCTGAGTAGCTGGGACTACAGACCAGTACAGCTTATACCTTGTACTTTATTAAACTTTTGTGGAAGTTCAACAATAGATATTAACTTTCATATCCTTTTTTTATGGTACATAACATGTAACCATTTATTATTGCTTTTTTTGGTACTGGGGATTGAACCCAGAAACTTGTGCAAGCAAAGCAGCTATAGCCCCAGTCCCACCATGTAATCATTTAATATAATATGAAGCAGATACTTAGTAACAACTAATAGCCTTTAGCTGTTCAGGATACCTTGCTAGGAGAAAAAGAGCTGGTTATAAAAAACTATGTAGGTAATGATTCCATGTAAACATATATACACACACACTCATAGACATGTAGAGAAAATCATCCCTCGGTATTGGAATCTAGGTAATTAAACATTGCTTTTTATTATGTGAATTTTCAATAACTTGTATTTTCAAAAGGTGGGAAATTATCACTAATACATGTTCTGCATATTTCATTAACACTTCTGTATCTCCTTAACTTTTTATTTTTTCTTTTTCTTTTTTTTTTTTTTTTAAAGAGAGAGTGAGAGGAGAGAGAGAGAGAGAGAGAGAGAGAGAGAGAGAGAGAGAGAGAGAGAGAGAATTTTTCAATATTTATTTAGTTAGTTCTCGGCGGACACAACATCTTTGTTGGTATGTGGTGCTGAGGATCGAACCCGGGCCGCACGCGTGCCAGGCGAGCGCGCTACCGCTTGAGCCACATCCCCAGCCCCAACTTTTTATTTTTTCAAATTATGTTTTAGTTGGAGATGGACATAATATCTTTATATGTGGTGCTGAGGATAAAACCCAGTGCCCCATGCCTGTGAGACAAGTGCTCTACCACTGAGCTACAACCCCAGCCAATGAACTTTGTATATAGGTTAGCAATGTGGGCTTTGGAGGTTACATAGACCAGGGTTTGGATGCTGGCTTTCTCATTGCTACCTTTGTGACTTCTTAGAAGTGACTAAATCACTGGTCATAGTGGCACATGCTTGTAATTCCAGCAATGTGGGAGGTTGAGACAGGAGAACTGCCAAATTTGAGGCCAGCCTCAGCACTTTTTAGCAAGACCCTGTCTCAAAAAAAAAAAGGGCTGGGAATGTACCAGTGGTAGAGCACCCTTGAATGTTTTTAGGGCCTCACTAAGTTGCTGAGGCTGGCTTCAAACTTTGATTTTTTCCTGCCTTGGCTTCCAGAATTGCTGAGATTACAGGCATGTACTACTACAMCTGGTGCCAATTATTTCTTTCCTTTAAAAAAAAAAGTTTTGCAAAGTGCAGTGGTGCACACTTATAATTCAGGAGGCTGAGGCAGGAGGATTGCAAGTTTGATACCAGCCACAGCAATTTAGACCTTAAGCAATTTAGTGAGACCCTGTCTCAAAATAAAAAATAAAAAGGGTAAGATGTAGCTCAGTGATAAAGCACTTCTGGGTTCAATCCCAGCATTCAAAACACAAATAAACAAAAAACCACCAAGTTTTAAATCTAAAAATGCATTTTCTTTTAGGACATTTACAAAATATAAAATATGCCAGACAGAGATCATTAGAGTCATATATACAATTATAACTGTAAAACCAATACCTTTCTAATTAATTACAAGGTTTTATATTTTAATGTGTACTGAAATTTGGACCTGTTTGTAATCTTTTAGATCCAAACTTAAAATAGAAGATATAAAAGAAGCTAACAAAGCATTGCAGGTGAGTAGAAAATGTTTCCATAAAGCAAAAAGGTATATGAAACTACAAAAGTAGGTGAAGTCCTGCATAAATATAAGGTATTTTAGGGATGGGGTATAGCTCAGAGATAGGATATATAAGGCCCTGGATTTGATCCCCAGTTCTGAAAAACACTGGGGATCTTGGACAAATGGTAGAGCTCTCCCCTTTATGTCTAGTATTACAGTGATCTTCCAGATGAAAATTGACATTAGAAATAATTTTGTCCACTTCCCTATAGTGTGGAATAACAGATTCCTGAATTTAAGAATTCTGCTTTTGGCTTTTACTGTCTCACATATCCTTACTAAGCCTATTTTACTCTTCTAAAACAGTTTTATCATTCTGCATAGGTTGTTATGAATATTGACTATAGAGTAATATACATAATAGTAGTTAGTATAGTTTATCCTTATATGGTTGTGGCYGGGTTTGGTGATGCATTCCTATAATCCCAGTGGCTTGAGAAACTAATACAGAAAGATCAAAAATTGAAATCCAGCCTCAGCAACTTAGCTAGACCCTATCTCAAAATTTAAAAAAAAAGTGTGGAAGGGGGGCTTTGGATGTAGATCAGTAGTAATTTGCCTTTGGGTTAAATGAATAGTATGCCCCACTACCATACATACAGTTGTGGATGTATTTGAATTCACTTCTACAACATAAAAAATACTGAGAGAACTTCAGTGATAGATACCTTTCTACCTCTACCGTCTACCTATATTTTAATTCAAAGTATTAAATCTAAAAAAGTGCTAAACAGACTTAAAACAAAAAGTAATCGTCTTTTTTTTCACTCTTGGCCCTTACCCACCCTTGCTCCTGCTACCCAAAGGGATCTACTAAGTCCTTTACCTGCTTCTTCTGGCCTAATTGCATTTCTAAGAAAGATGCAGTATATGTTGTCTATTCTTGATTAATTAATTTTAAACCTAGTTATTAATATGATGGATGGGTTTTGGCCACTTTCACACTGGCCTTCTCTTCATTGTCCTCCCAGTAGTTAGTTTCTTGTGAAATGCATTTACTTTTTTCCCTTTGGTACTAGGGGTTGAACTCAGGGGTGCTTTATAGCCAAGCCATATTCCTAGCTCCCCAGTTTTTTTTTCCTTTAGAGGGTCTTGCTCAGTGGAGGCAGGACTGTAATTATTGCTCCTCTTCTTAAGTTAGCTGTATTTGAATATCAGTTTTCTCATACCTTCTAGAATACCTCTATAAAATGTTTTAAGGTTTTCAAACTGCAAAATTTATCACTTTTTCATGCAATCATCCTTCCTGTAGTTCTCTGTTCTGCTTATGTCTAACCTGATTACTGCTGTTGGATTTCCCTTTGATTCTATTCCTGGAGTTCCCCTTATCCTGTGTGTGGGTTTTTATTGCCTGAATCCATAATATCTTTCTTGGGTTACTCCCTTATTTTGGGGCAATACATCCTTTATTCTAAGGATTTACACATCAGTTCATTTTTTCTGCTCACAAGAGACGGGTGGGGACAAGGATTAAAACTGGGCAAAATAACATCGTATATACAGAGAATGCACATTGTATAACACTTGCATACCCTTTGCTTAGCTTACAATCAACCATGATCCATACTTGAGGGCCCCCAGTGCTTGCTACTCTTCTTCCTTTTATAAATTTCCTCTACTTTTTTGTCAATCAGTACCTTGCTTTTCTTAATTATTCATGTATATTTTTAACAAAATGTAGTTCTGTTTTTGTATGTAGGAAAGTGGCTTTATGACTTTTTTCTATATTATTGACCAGTTAAAGGGTTTGGGATAACTTCTCCAAACTGTATTCCACATTACAGATTTTAACTGAAAATAAACTTGTTCCCGTTTCCTTAATATCTGTGAGCTGGGTTAAAATCTAGGGTCTGCACTTTTGAGGTACAACCTTTCATGTGATTTRTTTATATACTTTTAATATTCATTAGGCTTTTTGCTCATTTTCCCTTTTAGAAATAGCATCCTGACATTTTGTCTTTGAACTTATTTAGTAAGGCTTCGTATCTCCAAATTTAAACAAAAGGCACAAAAGCTCACCTAAGTCATATGTGTATGTTGGCTGGGTGGATGGCAGCAAATTGTTTCAGTGGTAGGTAGGCCTCATCAGAGAAAATTTTTTTAACAGTAGAAATACCAGATACCCTCTTTCCAAATGTCTATTTTCTCTAGGGAAGTGTTTTATATAATAGTGGCTAAAATTCTGGAACTAGACAGAAAAAGTCAATTTATTTGAAGAGCAGCARCCCACTACTTCCTTCTCGTCCTAGGTTTGCTTGTAGCTATTTCCTTGAGCAAGCAACTTCTGAACCTTGTTCTCTCATCTATAAAGTGAGAGGGGTGGGAATGTTTGCCTGATACTTTAAACCCCCAGTACCAGAAAACAAAAAATATGCAATTCCAGTTAGAAATTTTATCCAGGGAGCAGCCAGGTACAACAGGCACATTTGTAATGTCAGTGATTTAGGAGGTTGAGGTAGGAGGATCAAAAGTTTGAAGCTAGTTTGGGGCCACTTAGTGAGACCCTGTCTTAAAAAAGGTTGGATGTATGTAGCTTAATGGTAAAGAACCCCAGATTCAATCCCTCATACCCCAAACCAAAACCACACCCCAAAACTTCTTATTTCTCCCTTTACATGTCTGATACTATAAAATGTCCTTGGGCAAAAAAAATTCCAAGTAATCGTTCATACTTTTCTTTCYTACCAGGGACTGGTCTGGCTCAAAGACAAAGAAGCAACACATTGTAAGCTTTGTGAAAAGGAATTCTCACTCTCTAAGAGAAAGGTAAGAGAGGTAGGAAAAGAATCCAAAAACTCTGGATGCAAAAATGGCTTCTCATTTTATTCATCAAAATTTTTTTTCTCTGATTTTTAATAGCACCATTGTAGAAACTGTGGAGAGATTTTCTGTAATGCCTGTTCTGACAACGAACTGCCTTTGCCTTCTTCACCAAAGCCAGTAAGAGTCTGTGATTCCTGTCATGCATTGCTCATTCAGAGATGCTCATCTAACTTGCCATAAGATTGTAGAACTAAATCCTTACCTATGAAAGTTTCTGCAATGAATGCTTACAAGGTATCCAAACATAAGCAGCCTTTAGTCAGTATTGGTACCAGTTTATCTTCTACATATTTTACTCATGGGAATTATTAAGTTGTATCATTTGGTATTTACTCATTGTTACATTCTCAACAGCATGTTTTAAAATAACTTTAATTATTACATGGAATAATCATGGAACCCTTCACTTCATTTAAAGGCCAGATATAACAGCTCAAACACATTTGCCTTATCTTGTAAAAAGGCCTTCTTAAAAAATAAGGCTTCAGATTGTTTTCTTCTTGAATTCTGTCAAGTTGGTATTTGATGGTGCCTGTAATTCTCTTAATGCACTTTAAAGCTTCCCTACTCTCAGAGAAAGAGACTGGAAATGCACAAACTTTTTAGAAGTATTAATTCTCTAACAACAGAATTATTATTTTGGTAGAATTCCATATTCACCTGTATTTTCCCTCCCTTTCCCCCCTCTTTGCAGTAGAAAAGGTATTTTATCCTACAAGATTGTCTTTCCATCTTTTCTAAACAACCATTGTGCTTGCTGATACTTTTTTGGAGTGATCTGGTATTTACAATTTACTTCTTATCTTGAAAGGAACTTCCTCTTAAGTTATTTGCAGATGTTCTTAGGTGTGGTTACCCCCTTCCCCCAAACATGAAAACATAAACCTGCACCATGGGGGGAAAATGTGTATTAATATGGAATTACATGTTTAAACTTTACCACTGATGACACAGAATTGAGAGTTCATGCAGACACAATCAACCTTAACACTAAGTTATATTGTTTATACCATACCAAGAATTTAATATGAAGTTGCCTGTGTATAAGAAAACAAACTCCTACTGACACTATTTCCTTTTTATTAATCTAATTTTCAGCCATGCACTTTGTAAGCCTTTCAAAAACTACATAGAAACTTTACATTCCTAAGAACATTATACTGAATGATCAAATGCCTTCCTGACCCCCAAGTACTTTTATCTGTAGGCTCTTTTCCATGTGACCATCTCCTTTAAAATTTAACTAAATTGCCAAAGAAAGGAACCAATGTTTTAGCTGGGCATGGTGGCACACGTCTGTAATCCCAGCAGCTTGGGAGGCTGAGACAGGAGGATCTTGAGTTTAAAACCAGCCTCAGCAAAGGTGAGGAGCTAAGCAGTTCAGTGAGACCCTGTCTCTAATAAAATACAAAATTGGGTTGGGGATGTGGCTCAGTGGTTAAATGCCTCTAAGTTCAATCCCTGGTACCCCCCACCCAAAAGAAACCAGTGTTTTATTTGAAGATTATTTTTTCCAGAACCCATAAATTCTAGTCAGTTTTTGAGGTTGGTTAGTCTGTGTGTGTATGTATGTGGTACTTAGACTGAACCCAGGGGCTTTCTTCCACTGAGCTGCAYCCCCAGTCCTTGATATTTTTTCTTTTGAGACAGGGTCTCACCAAGTTGCTGAGGCTGGCCTCGAACTTGTGATCCTCCTGCCTCAGCCTTCTGAGCTGCTGGGATTATAGGTGTGTGCTACCACACCCAGTTTAAATGGTCTTTCTTGAATACTGACAGAAATGTACTTGAGATAGGATTATATTCTTGAACCATTTTGTACTGATGGGATAGATTAACATTTTTATGACTGCTGAAAACAAGTAAGCATAAATGAAAGTTTTCAAACAGGTTTTTAAAAATTATGTACTTGGAATGAATTTTAAAATGTAATTTAAGTTGCTTAAATTCCAAGGCAGTTTCCATTGATAAATAAACCAGGATTTTTAGTCACCCTTTAAAATTTCAACATTCAAAACTCATTTTACTATTAATTTGGGCTTTTTTTGGGGGAAGCAGCTTTAATGACAATAATATAACTTGTTCATTTAGTTTTGGCTTACTTTAAAACCATTTATACTTTAGATTTTTGTGTTCCATTACAAAACTTTCACAATTCTTACTTTTTGATCATGAACCTGCTGCACTTTTGTTTTCAAAATAGATTTCGTATACCATTCCCTTACCTAGCCAGTACTACCAACAATGATGCGATCATGGTGCCAAGGAATTGCGATTGTAATTCTTCTAACCTGTAATGTTTTAAAAATAAAAATGTAATGTTTTAAAAATAAAATGTGAATTTTATAAATCAAATAAAGATTTGAACAATTAGCCTGCTTTATAAACACAGTTTTCGTTTCTAACAACTTTATACTGTCACTGCTTAAAGATTTTAAGAACACAGTTCTAGGAAAATAAAGTACATGGCTTTTAAAAATAGGTTGTTTGAGCCTTAATATTTAAGTAGCTAATTAAAGTAAGCTGGGCATAGGCACTAATGACTGGGGGTATAGCTGGGGGTAAAGACCAGTGGTACAGTACGTGTTTAATATGCACAGTCTCCAATCGTTGATACAAAAAAAAAAAAAAAAGTTGAATCATTGCCAAAGGTCAAAAAGTTCCAAATATACATGCCACAACACTTCCTTTTCTACACCAAAAACCCTTCTCCTTTGGAGTCACTTTAAATTTTAATCAGTCTAGATATTATATGCAGTGCTTTCTACCAATATGGGTTGTAATTAGTAACCAACACAAAGCATTCTAGGACAAACGCCACATGATTATCTCCCACATTGACATTTATTACATTAATAACATTCTAGCAAAAACAAATAACAAGTTCAGTAACTGAATTCACATTGACAGGTTTCATTTTGATCCATTAAGCCAATTTGAGAAAAAAAGCCATATTGATCAAAGTGATGAAATTAAAAAGCACCTTTTCCTTGCTACATATTTTTAACTAAAACTCCAAACTGACAGATACAAAATCCAACTGCAGTATTGTTTTTGACTATGACATGGATTTGTGTCTTACATTTTTTAAATGTAGTCATTTAAACACTTATTTAAAACCCATATGCTCGATTGGATAAGAAACTGAAAATACATCTGTGAGAATTATGATTCATAGTAAATGCCTATGTACTTACACACTGAATTCTCATGTCATTGAGAATCCTACCTACTCTAAACTTATTTATCCTGAAATAAGTTATGACTCTCACCTTTTGGAAACATTTTTGGTACTTCAGTCAAGTGCTGAGGGAAATGTATTCTAAAATCTAGGGCTAGAATTCAAACTTCCAACACTCCCATACCTAGGTAACACAATTAGGAATACTCAGAAATCCAGATACCTCTTAGATCATCAACATTTCAGAGCTATGCCTGATAAATGACATCTGAAAAAGAATAATATAGAATTAGCTGAATTTATATTCCTGAAGCCACCTAAACTGTTCTTTAGGCTTTATATTTACAGTGCTTTTCAGGAGAAATTAAAGAAAAAATTATTCAAGCTCTTATTTCAGATGTCTGCTTATAAAGAATTGCAGTTTATACCAAAGTGAACCATTATTCTCTAATACTACACTATACTATACTACTGTTTGTAGCGCTACCAGTAAAATACATMAACCCAAATCTTATGAAGGCAGCACATCTTTAGGAGTAACTAGTATATATAAAAAGTATCAACATCAGTGGTTTGAATATAAAAATTTATTTTTTAAGTCAAAGTATGCAACAAATAAAACCTACAGAAAACAGATTTTCCCATCACAATCTGTGGCTTTACCAAATAATATTTTGAAAACACATTCCTTCAGTCATTATAAAGTTCTTAAAATACAAAAGAAATTAGATCTGTAAGAAAGTCTAGTAGACCAGATGCTGTTAGGACTTGTATGTTGGCGATTATGTTTTCAGTACATCCCACGCCATCCACCTCCACTCATGCCACCTTGCCCATAGTAACCTCCACTGCCTCCACCACCACGGCCTTAAGAGAAAAACATTAAGAATCATTTATCAGAAGAAATCTGTGCATCAGATATTAAAACTAATATCTGCACTTTTTTATGGGCATTTCAATTGGGGATTAACACAAACCAAGTAGAAAAACTTACCATAACCACCCAAGCCATCAGGAGTACCATATCCTCCACTATAATTGTTCCCCATTCCCATTCTTCCAACAGATCCATATCCTCCCTGATTATCTTTAAAAAAAAAAAAAAAAAAAAAAGTAAGTTTGAGATCAATTGCCAACAAGCCAATAGTGCTTATCTTTAAAACTTCACATACCCATTCCATCTCTGCCGTAGCCTCCCATTCCAGAACCTCCCATTCCAGAGCCACCTCCAGGGGTAGAATTCAAGAAGAGTTCAATGTACCGATGTTCTTTAAGAAAAAAGGTTAAGAGTAATATGAGAGGAATGATGGATCAAATTTTTTAATAAAAGCTTTAGCAAGTCAATTAAAATATGTATCAATGCTTCGGTAAATCACCTAAGGAAGCCATTAAAGTATAAGCTTTATTATGGACTGAATACTTTGACTGTACCAAGAGCCATCTACAGATCCTAATATCTCTTATACTTATTTCAATAAATAAGACTTTTATAAACCAGTGTACATCTAGGAAACAAAATAGCATGCCGAGGACACCACTTACGCATGTTATTTTTATCTTTAGACATGGCAGCTACTGCATCTTCATGTGTCACAAACTCTACATCTGCTTCTCCTGTTGCTCTGCCATCAGCTCCAATATCAATATGAACTCGAATTGGATTTAGTGGTGAGAAGAACTAAATCAAAGAAAACATTTATTTTTAAATTCCAATTATCAAAAGTAAATTACCAACAGCTTAACTTTTTCCTCAACCACTGAAATAAACCCTTTAACTGCTTAATCAACCAGAAGGTCTATGAACATGAATATGACTACATTCTTATTTAAAAAAAAAAAAAGTGCAATCAAGACCAAAGCCCAAACAGGTATTTTTAAAAAACCTCACACTGTACTATCGAGTAGAACAAAGTCAACTAAACTACTCCCTTTACTCTCAAAAGAAATCATTTCAAGGGCTATAGATGTCAGCACACTGGTATAGTGCTTACCTAAGTGTATGTAAGGCCCTGGGTTTAATCCCACCACCACCAAATAAAAACATAGAGAAAATCCAAAACCCCCCCAAAGATTTCAAAATTGCTGAAATATAACAGTTCATGTGAGAAGTACAAAATATTTACAGAGGAAACAGCATACACCATGATTCAGAACAATGGATTTGATAAACCTGCTAACAATACATGAATATCCCTAAAAATGTACCATTTAGTTCTAATCCCAAGTTTATATTAAACTTATCTTTAAAGGTACTTGGAACTTAGGCCAATTGGTTCCCAGTAAGATATASAGTGAACTTTTGCTTTACTAACCAGATCAAGTATATTGGGCTTTGAAGACCATTAGGTCTGTCATATTACAACTCTATGGGTTAATGAATGGGTGGAAGTGACTAGATTTTGCCCATGGGCTGCAGTTTGCTTATCCTCTAACCAATCTGAAACCAACAAATTTCAAATCAGTGACAGCAGCAGGATTTGTCTACCTTAGAAAGCCAAATCAAGCCACTAAAACTTTACATATTTACTCTTTCAAAATATGACACAACAAAAGAAATTATCTATTCACAAGTCTATATCAATCAGTTTTTCACTATTAACTGGATTTGGATCCCACTGAGGTCACCAAAAAAATTGACAGAATATCTATCAACCACTGAATATGGGACAGATGTGAGGGAATGAACCCAGGGCCTTATGATAATTCACTAACAGAATACTACTGAGCTACATTCCCAGCACCAATCTTGATATTGTCATTAATAAAGATAAAGGGAAAAAAGGAGTGCTTTAAAATTAAGATACCAAGTATAAAACCACAAATGATCACCAAAATTACTCACATTAGCAATATCATTTTCAGTTGCACGAAAAGGCAACCCTCTCATATGTACAAAATGACCACCATGAAAACCTGAACTCGCATCACCAGCTCCACCATAGCCATGACCTCCCATACCTAGAAAATAATTTTGTCAACATTATAAACCATTATGGATACATGTAGGAAAGTATATATATATACACACACACACTATACAAAAGGTATAAAGCCCATAAAGGAAAGCACTGAAATATACCTGATTAATTTCTTTTATACGAGTCACTGATGTTACCACAGGAAGCTTACAAATACTAAAAAGTTTACTCCTAAATGAAAATACT